GGAAAAAGTTGGAAAAAGTTTCCACATAAACACAGGGGTAAGACAAGGAGATGGAATTTCTCCAACACTCTTTAATATAGCTATAGAAGCGTTACAAAAGACAAAAAACCTTCAAGGTGGCATAAAACTGGGAGTAGACTTAAATATATTGGCATTTGCAGATGATGTGGTAATTTTAGCAGAAAACTCTGGAAACCTTTGCCTATTAGCTGAAAACATTATTAAAGAATATGAGAAGGTAGGATTAGAGCTAAATTAAGAAATAACTAAAATTGTTCACTTCGGCCGAAACGCTAACAATGGAGATGTAAATTTCTACATTGCCAACTATTCAATTAATTGTGAGGATAGCTTTAAATATTTAGGAGTTATCATCAATAGTTCAAATTCTGAAGATCTGGAGTTATAAAGTAAACTAGTAAATGCCAATAAGAGCCTTGGGGCCTGTACAAAACTTTTGTCATCCAAACTTTTATCAAGATTCTCAAAATTAAGTAAATACAATACCGTTATACAGCCAGTGTTATTATATGGAAGTGAAACATGGGTCCTCTCCAAAAGAAATTAAGAACGTTTTGATGGTATATGAAAATAAGGTACTTCGTCAAATATTCGGCGCAATTTATGAAGAAGGAGTTTGGCACATTAAGAAAAATAGAGAGCTGTGTGCCCTAGAGCCTGATATAATAGCGCTTATAAAATCCAAAAGAATTAGTTGGCTAGGACACAGGATGGCACAAGACTAAGGAGGTTTGTGAGGCCGTACCTACAGGAAGACGTCCATTGGATAGGCCTAAATTAAGATGGTATGACCAAGTCAAAAAGGATGAAGGAGAAATCCGGATGGTGGAGAATAGAGAAGAGTGGAGGCGGCTAATCTACGATGCAAAAAATCAACTGAGATTTGTGACACCCCATCAGTAAGTATTATCAAAAAATCTGGCCAAAACTCAATCAATAAATCTTACCAACTCAGTTTTGGACCTTTACATATAACAAAGCAATAGTCTTTAACAATCTCTCTTTGCTGTGGTAAAACTTATCACAACTCAACACCCAAAAATAATGGTTTAAGTCATTCAATCATCCAAAAGGCTCTCCAACAGTCTGACAAGGAATCTAAAAAAAAAACTAAAAAAACATTGAAATCTTTGCCTAACTGAACTGAGAAACAACCATCCCACAGCCTACAACCTGAAATGAAAAATGTCCCACTTATCTCCGATAAGCCCAGTCTAGCCTACATTTTAAGCCTACCCACACCTGGAAGACATCAGCCTATTTTGCCAACTTTCTCCACTAATCAGAAAATCACTACACGAGCCATGCAAGCAGATAACACTTCATCAAAAATGCAACAAATCTGCAATATATGCAATTACAAATTATCCACTATTGAAGAAGAATTGTGAGAGGGTTCAAGCTGTATTTCTCCCTGCAAATGTAACATCCTTAATTCTACCCATGGATGGAGTGATTGAGCGGCTGAAGAGACAATATCGTCGTAAGTTTATTGGCTCAACCCTAGAGAAAATGGAAGAAGGTAGAAGGTTGTTTCAGGCTTTCAAATGATAAACATCAAGGATGTAGTGTACACTACTGTTGCTGAAACATGGCAAGAAATGTGCCTTCAACACTTGAACTCATGGCACAAACTGTGGCCGAACATGAACAAACAAACCATTAAAGAAGAAACCAACGTCCAAAATCTAGATGAGATTATGTATGAAGAAGTCTAAACAGATCATGCCGCAGACACGCCGGCAATCTTACAGGATCTTTAAACTCTACAAACAGAAGTTCAGCCTAATGATGTCGACAAGAGGATTGAAAATGTCAACATGCATTGTTCATCGCAAGAAGAACTTTATGAGCAAATAATCAAAACTGCTACAGAAATAACGGAAGAAAAGTAAGAGGACGTAGATGATGGAGACACCGAGCCTGCACTAAGGGTTTCACATTCAGATGCAAAAAATGCAAATAGAATTAGTGCTCCAATACATCAAGCAGAGTTCAAACTCTACACCAATGGATATTTAGTGGGTCCGGAAATGGAGGAACATGGCAGCTAAATCACAGTTGTCCCCTGCCAAGCAAAAGAACATTAGGCCTACTGACTTCTTTCATCGTATGTAGATAATAAAGTTAGGACCAATAATGTTTTGTGTGTGGTTGTATGTATTTTACTTGTGTTATACAAATTTTATAAGGCCTACAATTTAGTATAATCAGGTATGTAAATTTTCTTGTATACATTTTCAATACAGTAGGCCTAATATTTTCTCCGTTAACTTACAGTGCCGTATTTAACTTGCTTTGTTATGTTCAAAAATTTATTCTAAAACATAGTTAAGGTTATGTTTACTTAGAACCTGTTTGTTTAACATCCCTAAATGAAAGAGCTACTTTTATAAAAAGACTTTTTTTGCGTTCGGACCATACCCCCGGTCCCAATAGAGAGGGATCAGTGAAGTTGAACTGTACCCAAACTCAGCATTGCAATATGACTCGGCTCGGGCCATTAATAGGCGGATTGCGGAGACATTTCTAAAGCAGATAGGGCTTGATAGCATTGTTTTGGGGGATGCTGTGAAGCGACTTTGAATGTGCCTTACACGTCATAGTCACTGCACGACTGCTAATTTGTTAGCTGTGTGAAGGCATTGTCAGCCTCCAACTACCTAACAGTAAAGGCAATGAGAAAAATACACAGTAGAGTTGTATCACCGGAGCTCATTGTAGTGAGGGAAAAAAGAAATATAAGACCCATAAAACAAAATATGCACCTATTCAGAGACAATTTTCATCAACAATTGTAGGCCTATTGCAAAACATCTTTGACATTCTACATGACCGAAACAGTAGCCCTAGTTTCACATTAAAAGCCACAATCATGTATTAGACTACGTCAAAGCAAAAGTCAAGGAAGTGAGCCATGATAACAATCATACCTAACATAAAGAGAACAATCTAGCTAGTAATGTCAAGTGCGGGATGAAGGCTGCGTGTTCGGGCGATGACCTGGCATCCAGGTCGGTCTCCGCCACTCATACTCTCCACAATCCCACAATGCACTTAGCGGGGAAGATGGCGAGACAGCCTGTCACTCAGCAGTTTACGTCTGCATACGATTCTAGACTGACGTTTAGCTGCTGTGAGTTGATGTTGTAAATTATGTTCAGTTTATTGTGCGTGATGGCTGTTGCAAAGAAAGTAACTCGGATTGACTTTGATTGTCCATTGTTTGGCTGTCCAAAGGGAATTGCCTGTGAGTAAGCTTCCAGCTTACCAAGATGCCATTAGGAACTGTTTCCATGAACAGTATGTACAAGCATTACAATAAAATAAAACTCTTGAATAAAACTGTACTATCTGTCCTCCCAACGTAACAAGCCTCTAACAGCCAATGGACTAAGGTGTAATAGAGTGCTTCAAAAAAAAGTATTGTCAAAAGCTTCTTTCAGAAGTTTTGTAAAAACTAGAGAGCGATGAAAACACTGATCTTATCCAAATGTTAAAAACAATCAACATGAAGGACTTGATTTTCATGGTAGCAAAGGCCTATGATGAAGTACAACCTTCAACATTAGTAAAGTCGTGGAGAAAGGTATGGCCGAATTTTGAAGAAGTTGTTGCAAGTGAAGGCAATGTTATTGATGTACACAGCCTTGAATGTGAATCAGACGACCAAGCTTATATCCTAAATAATCTACAGCAACTGCCTCACAGTGAAGAAGATGTTTTGGAGTGGGTAACTGTTGAAAAGGTGGACGATGAAATTTTGAATGACGAAGAAATCGCTCAATCAGTTTTGCAACGTCCCCCAAGAAACCCAAGTTGAAGAAGAAGGTGGCGACTGTGAGGACATTGGGTTTAAAATGAGCCACGCAGAAGGAATGGCAGCCCTGCAACTGGCTACAACCTACATCGAACAATAGACACTACAGCGGTTGACATGCTTTTTAGAAAATGGTGTGACTATGCTTGAAAGAAAACAACAGAAGAAAAGGTGCGGCAAAAAATTACAGATTTCTTTTAAATTTTGTGATTTGTGTGTGAAATAAATAAATAATGTCAGTATCAAGTGTACAGTACTTGTTTTTATAAGACAACACCAACATTTCTGAGGGTAAGTTTAAAATCCACACTTAACCTAAGTCTAATCTGTTTTGGTTGTGTTTTTATGAACTACAAAAAAATACAACTCTTGTCACACCATTTTGAAACCTACAAGTTTTTAAATTAATTATTTTGTATAATAATTTAGTAAAGATCACTTATAAGTCTATTTACGACAGTAAAATTAGTCTTCTTTATCTATCATCAGTAAGTTCGGCCATTTCGGTCCAGAGATGGCCAAATGAGAGGGAGTCTTAGGCCGGGCGCGCACTATCCCGACCACGACCAAACGCCCGACCGGTGGTTGTCATTCACCATGCGACCAGAGCACGACCCGACCAAGGCAACGAATGTTTTACAAACTTCAGTGTCAAGATGATTGTTGAAGAAGTAGTTGTTATGGTGCATTTGTATTGTAAGTACGTTAAGCGGAAGAAGACACTATACTGGGTATATCCAATGTTAACTGTTAGGTCTGAAAGGGCATTTTGCAACATTTTATGAAGAGCTACGTCAATATGAAGACAGGTTTCAAATGTGTCAAAATCCTGCGACATTTTACCAAATGAGTCACTTCACAGACCGGCGCAAAAAACTAGTGCTCACCGTTTGATTAGTCTAGGAATACTCGGGGTTGAGTGGTGTACTGGTCGGGTTGGAGGCAAGTCGGGGGTAGTGCGCGTCGTCCCATTACATTGTGTGCTATTTTTGGCTGCAACGACCAGCGGGTCGGGCCCGACCAAACTGGAAAATTTTGGTCGTGCGACCAGGGCCCGACCAGCCGACCAGTGCGCGCTGTTCCATTTATTCCTATTATAAAACTGGTCGTATCCGACCAGTCGGAGTCGTGGTCGTGGTCGGGATAGTACACGCCGGCCCTTACTGTAGGACTATACTCAGCTTATATTGCATTATGTTTGTGTTACTACAAAACATAATATTTTGTAGTTTGTGTAGGCCTACTCTTTACACTCTGTTCTCTCTCTGCAACAGACAAAATTATTTTACCATCGTCATTAAAACCTTATATAAAATTTAAAACAAAACTCATGACCTTTACAATCTTGGTATATTAGCAAAAGTCGGATTATCAAGATTGGACTTAAATCTTTTTATTAGGAGTTTCCTTTTATTCCTTTAATACCGTACAAAATGGTGGGAGATCAAGTGACAAAATATAATATACAGTAAAATATTTATCTTCTTAATCCTCAGTTTTGAATGTTTTCATAAAATTCTTTAATTACGATACCTCGTGCAAGAGTTTTGCTTTAACAATAACTTATTATTTGTAGTGAAGCTATATTTATAATCTACCTTTAATGATTAATTTACCTATTGCATTGTAAAACAAATATTTAAAAAAGTTAAGGATCGTTTGGTGTGCGCTAATGGTGCAATTTATAGGCCTACAGATGTGTTTGTCTTCTTCGTCACAGCATAAGTGTCATTGGGCTGCCTGTGGTTGCAATTGTATCATTTAAAAGGTGTATTGTGGTTGAAAATCCAGCTAGTTTTTAGGTGATATCTGTAATAGTTTTTGTTGGCAATATACGTTTAAGCCATATTAATTATTGTCAAGTTTTAAAGTGTTTGAAAACGACGTTTTCTAAATGAAATTTCTGTCCAGAAATTGTGCATTCAGTTTCAAAATGGCCAAAACAAAAGTTGACATTCAACATTTTGTTTTTACATGACAATGGTGGGCAAATTGCACATAAGATCAGCTTTGATCATTTCAATGGAAGGATTTTCCTTTAACCACTCTCTACAGTCTAGACATTGCTCTGGGTGAACCACTATTTTCCATATTAAGACTAGCTGCACAGCGCTTTGATGACAACTAAGAGCTCCAATTAATTGTGTATCATCAAAAGGCTAAACTCACAGTTGCCAACAGCAAAGAAACTTCAAGACCCGTCCAGAGGTATCCCTAATTTCTTTGGTGACTGTGTAGAAAAGTTGTATTTTAGTTGCTCTTTTATTAACCTTCTTATTTTATTTTAAAACATTCCTTTCTTTCTGAATAGCCCTAAACAATAATGGTTGCAGATGTTAATTTTTTTTTATTAGCTTACAGTCTTGCTCTGTAAGGTTCAACCCGAATTAGGACTGGTCTTGACTTTCCTCCAGTTGTTAAGACATAGCATTAAGTGAACTTGTTACTTCTCCCTAGTTTCTTTATAAAGGCTTTTATTTAAATGGATGAACGGACTGACCAATGGATCAACAAAGAAATTGTTAAAATGGTACAACCATCCGGGAGGCATGGGTGAAGGGGAGAAAAGAGAATCGCACATGATAATGCGCTGAATGTTAGGTACTTAAATGACAATAAATGGCACATTCAGTTTTAAATTTCAATGTATATGAGCGACTATATAGTCAAGCATCATATTATGAATCGTACCATACAATATTTCAGAAGGACAAGTAAACTAACTGCATATTTTACACGTTCAACAGAACAAAAACTTTAATGAGTTTGGACCGCTTTCCCTTAAAAGTGTTTGACTTCATTACAAAAATGCCACTGGCGTAGATACGAGCAAAAAAAAAACATAAAAACACAAAAAGCTTCTCTTCAATGATAATTCTATTACCATGGCCAATTTGGCCATTGCCTGAAGACTACGACACTACAATGTGTAGCTGTAGAATCCTGTTTATAAAGATAATGTTCACTAAGCTTAAACAAATCTGACAAGAGTGGAGTTAGGCATACAAACCTCCACTCCACAAAAGGTGTCTGCTCCTTGTGGTTTTGTTGGCAGACACTATTTGCACAGTTGACCAAACATGCAACTGAAGCTCAGGACAAGGCTTCGTATCGGTATCTACAAAAAGAAAATCAAGTTATGTGATAGGTAGGTATTGTTAGTCATCTAAAGAGCCTTAAGCTATTTTGATTTAGGTTGGCAAATTTCCAATGAATGAAGAAAAAAATAGTTGGATACCAGCAATTTGACCACACTTTTTACTGGATTGTATGCCTCTTCATTGGTTTTCGGTTCATACAAAGAAATATTTAAAGTTCTAATTTGTTTAAGGTGGCCCATGTTCCCACTGATGTTAATCACCTGACCATTCAGAGTAGGGCTATTACTGATACCGTACTCAGAATGTTTTGTTTTTATTTAGGATTCCCTCCTGTATGGTAGGCCTAAACGGGAAAAGGCAAAGTGGAGACAATGCTGAATAGCATCTTGGTCCCTCAAGATAAGGTTTCGACCAAAGTAGAGAACTTGCAAACAGGGAAAATACTAAATCAACAATTCAAAATTTCCAGTAGAATTTAAGGTTTCTCGTCATATCCTAATTTGTATTTAAGTACTAAGTTAACTTTAAGTGAATTTCCTATATAGGGGAATAAGCTATTTTCTTAGGTCTCATGGTAAGACCTGAACCCGGGACGCATTAACAAAGTTTTGAGGTCATCAAAGGCCAAAAACACTAACCGTTCAAATTCACTAGCCTATATAAATATAAATTTGTCTGTTAACGTAATAACTCATGCAAAAATGGTCCAATTTTGATTAAATTTGTCTCAAACCTGTAAACCTACGTTTATTTTAGCAATATTACGAACCAGCATGAACCGACTATAAGAACAGGGGTTAATGGAGAAAAAATTTGATTTCCCCATACAAAAATAAAATTTTGCAATGTGATGGCCTAGCCTATCAGATAGCCTAGTAAAGATATTACAATAATTGAGATCCTAAGGCCTACATAGGTTATGGCCTTGGTCACAGTATTAAGTTAACTTATCTTAAAACAAAAACTCATGGCTTCTACAAGGATAAATTCACAACAAATTGGGAATTCGAACCGCATAAGTGGTCGATGTGAAACCATACCGGTAGTGAACTAAGTAACATTTTCAATGTTTTGAGAGAAACGAGATTAAAGTTAGGATTCTAGAAAAAGAATTTTGTTTAACTTTAGGCCATCTAAACCTTTGGCCACAACATTAAAATATGTGAACTTTTATTGGTATTAGAGCTCATTAACATAAAATTCCTTCTTTTAATAACTTTTGTAATAGATAGAATTTTAACAACGCGAACACTTAACACTTAGGGACTTCTGTTGTTGAACCATTTTATTTATTTTAGCTAACTTTGCTCACTCTGGTTGATTGGAAAGTATAGAGTTCATAAGGCACTATGAATATGCAATATGAAACTTGGCAATTTATAATTCAGCCCCAATTAGTGGGCACTGGATGCTTAACTTATACTTATTAGAACCTAATATGCCTTTGAAAGTGTAGGTAAATAAAAATCATGAATCTCAATATTGTTGTAACCCTAAATAAAACTTAAAACAAATTTAAAGTAGGCCTAACTTGGTTCACTTTGGTTGATAGCAGGTTACCTTCATTAAAGAACGTACAAATGAACTACGGTACATCTTTTACTGTTATAAAATAAATGATAATTGAAATTATAACTTATACTTCACTGTAAACAGCAGAGAAGGAGAGCATATTCACTGCTAAACAAATCAGAAATAGCCTACTAAGTAATTCATCGTCAATCTCATCATCATAGACTTTTTTTCCTGTGTGATGACTCCATGTGGATAGGTACTTGGTTCACTCTGTCTGAACCAGCTGTTGGCAGTCTTTCTATCAACCAGAGTAAAATTTCCCTTTCACAGGGGTGTTATTGCAAATATCACTTAGTTCACTTTTGCTGAATATAGGCCTAGAGAACGTACCGTCACATGTGATCCACTTATAGTGCTATCTCATATTTACCAATTATGTCGCTTAGTTCACTATAGGCCTATATGGCTTTACTCCGACCAAGTTGTCCAGCACATTTGGGTTAGGTTACCATAAAATAAACATCATATGCCTAGGTATTAAAACCGTGTTTCTAACAAAAAAATATGCGACTAAGCTTCAGGTGTTGCCAGCTGTCCCACTTCTGTTATAACAATCCAGAATTTTGTTCAAAATTTTTGACTGTGAGTTTACTTAATGTCTGTTTTAAGTTAATCCTGGGGAGGTGGGACCGTCTAGATTTTCCCTAACGAAAGGTAGGTAGGATTAACTGCTCGGCTCCCTCTCAACTGTCATCAAGGAATGAGCTTCATTCGATGTTTTCCAAACATTGAGATTTTTCTATCGATGTTCGATGCTTTTTACATCGATGGTAGGTTACCAATATTCTTGTTAGGCCTACATTGGTACCTATTACGTTTTCTTTGAGCATCAATGTTTTAGACCAAGTAGGCCTAACTTATTTAAATAGTCTATCGATGTTTCCTATTTTGTTAACTGAATTGTAACCTAGCCTTACTTAGTTTGGTTGAAATTTTTAAAAGTTAAAATGTTGGTCTCAGCAAAAAATTTAATTTATTTTATTTAATCTAGGCTAGGCCCTATTGAAAAGATGAAACATTGAATAAAAAAATATCCCGAACTGGACTAGCCTTGGACAAGTGTAGAGTGAGTTGAGATAATTAAGTAAGTTATCTGTAAGGTGAAGTGCTTGTTCTAAATGCTAAATTAACTAAAATTCGATTTATATTTTTACGGTAGGCTAACTAATAAATTTCAGTGGCAGCTCTCCTGCTCTCTAGTATAATAAAATTATCAATACCGGTACCTTCATCTTGTAAATGTAAAATATAAGTAAGTTAAAACTGCCAATCAAGAACATATAGTTAGCAGCATAGACTAACTAACGAACGCAAGGGAGGGTTTAATCAATGCAAGCCTTTTAAACATAAGATATAAGAGTAGATGCAAATTGGTGAGTGACGTAGCCAGGATTTCAAAATAGGGGGGTTCGACCGACCGGGGGTCCCTCCGTACTCCGCAGGTAAAAGGGGGGTCCGGAAAATAAAACGGTCCTTTCTCTCTTGGCATAAAAATGAAACAGCTCTCTTGGCATTGAAAATAATTAACCCCTAAATCAAGACAGTACGATTATACGGTAATTTTAGATTTCATTAAACAAACAAATTACTTAATATATTTAAGACCAGAAGGGGGGGGTCCGGACCCCCTTCTTCCTGGCTACGTCACTGAAATTTGGTTAATTTTTGTTGATTACAGAGTGGACGGAAAACATCTAAGATTGTTTTGGCCCTGAAATATTCATGTTTTCCCGACGGTGTTACAAGATAAAGAACATCAACGGTTGACCTATCGATGCTCATCCCCAATGTCAGCAGGTGCTCAAACTAAGTTAACTTATGTTACTTAGCCTACTTATAGTCCTAAATTTGTTCTTTCTCATAGCCTACCACCTTAAAATTAACTTCAAAACACAAAAAGATAGCTTTAAGTTAAGAATGAAACTTTTCTAATGTTACCAATAGCCTAACTTATTATGGTTGCGAAATAAGTGGCTCAGTCTGTAGCGTAATAAACTTGGGAAGGACCTACGACAACTATGTCTTGGATTTCATTAGTAGCCTATCCTAAAAAGTTACCTACCAGACTACTAAAATCAGCAGGCCTTGGCTACGATTAACTTACTTATTTACCTTTGAACAGTTACGGTTCACCCCTTCCGTTGCTGGATACCTTAGGCCTACTTAAACGTAGGAGCCCGAGACCTATGTTAAGCTAGGCCTATGTGAACGGCCAAATGCTAGGTAAAAAGAGACCACCAAAGTAAAAACAAATGTCTAAGTTAGGCCTATGGTGTGCATCAATGACTGAGTAACTTATAGGCCCATTGCTTGCATTGAAGCTGTTTTAAGCCTATATAACGTACTGCCTAGCTATAACTGTTATAGCCTAGGACTAATTAGGTGGGCTAAATGATACCTTCAAAATAATTCAAACAAGACAGACAGAAACAGCCAAAATGGGTCAAGGCGAATATAAAACAAACCTAGCATATGATAAAGATCTAAAGACCAAACACAAACACAACGAAAAGAACGGGCTGCTGCATTGCATCAGTGGTAAAATAACAACGACAACCGGCAGGCGGCACGTCGCGTCACATTTCCGCAACAACGAAACGAACTCAAAGCCAAGCCACGCCATCAACGACTAACGAGATGGATCCCGATGGGATGAGAGTTCTTCTTAAAGTTGGAGTTGAGTACTACTGAGGAGACACGACGAGACACTAACACTAAACTCAACTCACTGAAGCACTAAAGAGAAAGAGACATTGAGAATTAATTGAGTTTTTTGAGTTGTGGCGAGGCGAGGCAAGGCAAGGGTGAGGCCGAAGGCCGAAGCGTGGAGCGGAGCGTGGAGGCGACGCGGCGTAGAGGTTAGGTAGGTCGGGCGGGGCGAGGGCGGGCAAAGAGGAAGAGACGGTGAGAGTAAGATGAAGTACGTTCTATCCTATTCTTTTCGAGCGAAGCGAAGCCAGGCTTAATAATTTGGAACTGTACCATGCAGCTTTTCATTATCCAAAGATTTCCATTGATTATTAACAACTAGCAGAGTACCCGTCCTTCGTACGGGGTTGGCATATAAGTATCAAATGCTTATAGCAGTTATGAGTGAGGACATGGTTTAAGAAATTTCGGTTCTTTTTGAAGTTCGTTCGCTACGCTCACTCACCTTTAGGTTGGAGCTCGTTCGCTGCGCTCACTTTCCTTCAGGTTAGCTCGTTCGCTACGCTCACTTGTCTTCAGGTTAGCTCGTTCGCTACGCTCACTCGCCTCCAGGTTGAAGTTCGTTCGCTATGCTCACTCACCTTTTGGTTGCAAATTAGCTGTTGTCATAAATGTAAAAGAAATAATGCTAGTGCTGCACCCTGTTGGTAATCCTTGTAACTTTAATGCTATTGAAAATCATAGAACAGAACCAACTTGTTTAATTGAAACAGCTGTTAAGATTCATTAATTCCATTTCTCATAAGGTTAACATGGGAACCTTTGCTCCAGAGCCACTGGGGCGGAGCCCGGAAGGATTTTTGGGATAAAAATATGCCTATATGTTAATCGGGAATATGAGCTATCATCATGCCGAATTTCAGCCCGATCCGACCAGTAGTTTTCGCGTTTACTTTTCCCATACACACAGACACCACCTCTTTTTTATAATAGTATAGATAGATAAAATTTCATTCTTAATCCATCTCCAACAAGAGTTAGTAAAAAGGCTTAAAACATGTTTTTACTTTTTTTTCGATTATGTCATAGATTTGTGATTTCCGTGTAATGAGAAATTTTCCATTTAGAGCACATTACGGAACATTGTTTATTAATCCGCAGATCATGACCATAATGGTTTCTATTTTGTCACACAGCTCCGGAGACGTTTAAAAATGCCACTTTACTAAGGAAATTTAATATACTCATTTAAAGGCAGATAAATTCCATCCAAGGTCAGAATCATAGATGTATAGAAGAGTTACAGCCGCCTCCAGGCACGGCCACCATTCTCCATGCTGCAGTCTGGAATAATTAATTAGCAACGTCGCAAGTAGTGCTGTTTAGAGCCAGACGTCCCATAATCTAACATGACAGACATGTGACACCCACTCAATTAATCACGTATAACTAATTAAATTTTAAATTTATAAAATAATTTATATATCTAAAAATTTTGGTTTTTCCGGGTTCGTTTGGCTCTTCTACCCGAGCGATTTTGATGATTGAGGTCTCAAATTGAAGCTATGCACACACAGATTTGCCATCAAGCATCGGCATATATTTAATCCAACTCAGCTTATACGTAAACGAAATTTCCTCCCCATGTATTTCTTATAGTAGTTCATTTTGGTTACTCTTTTCCGAGTTCGTTTTGCTCTTCTACACGACCGATTTCTAAGATTGAGATCTAAAATTATTGACTATGATTTATAGTAACTGTAGGAAAAATATAATGTGTAAGACTAGTGTAAATTGCCTTTGCTGCACCCGAGAGCTGTAAACATTTCTCTCGTGTCACTTCGCCCACTATAGTTATACAAATAACTATTTTACCCCATGTGAGTCACAGTGTCATGGGATAAAGTGTCGTGATACATGTAATTAAAACCCGATGAATATGTTATGGGCACCCTGTAAAATAAAACAATTTTAATCTTGATCGGAAGCCTACTATAGTTTTCTCGGAGAAGCCACGTAAATTGGAATTTTGGCTTCACAGACACAATGTCAGACAGACATAAATTTAGATAAGACTTGTTTCAGCTTTCTAAGGGTATAAAACGTAAAAAATCATCCACCGCTTCATGATTCTTCATGTCATAAGCTTCATGCCTGTGCAATACTCAATGCACAGACAAAAATGTAGTTTCATTTATGTAGATGAATACTTCAAGAATATATTTAATATTCAATACGTTGATTCCCTTAAATTAGTCCAAACTCATTGTGAGAGTTATTTATTTATTTCGAATTCACTCAGTTTTCCAATAAATCCTGCAATACTTGCAAATCCTGCAATTGCTCGAATTCAAGCAACGTGTTGTAGTAGCTATTTAAGCGTAGAATTAAAATATATTTTGAGACAATAAACACAAAAGTAATGTGAAAAGCTTTAAGGAAAGCAAAGAACTTTAATCTCTTGCAGCAGTGTTTGCTCTACCTTAATCTTCAAAAGCTCAAGCTTCGGTACAGCCAATTTGTAAACTTAAAGCCGCTGCTATATGAAGTTCATTGGGATCAGTCACGCAGGTTGTGACTTCGTATTACTTTGTCTGAGTGAATGAAATGAAATGAAATGAAAATCCTTTATTATTTCAATAGGCAAAATTAGGGCCACATGGCCCTTTCTTACACTTAACCTGCATACATAATTATAAATATAAAATACAATTTAACACATTATTTACACAAAAACAATACTTTTTTGACAAAACGAAAACAACATGTCTAACAACAACAACAGTCTCACACACTCAGTCAGCAATTACGCGAGTGCCAAAACAGTCCTAGGACGCACCAGCCGAGGCCATACGCTCAAAGTACATTTTTTTCAGTGCCGCCACGAACTGAGGACGACTATCAAGCATTTTGATGGATAAAGGTAAGTTGTTCCAAAGACGGCAGGCAGTTACAACAAAGGCCCTGTCATATGCTATACTCCTATGAAGAGGTATGCGTAACGTGAAAGATGCAGTGCGTGAACTCCTCAAGCTACCTTCGGCTATAAAGCTAAAGTCCCCTTCAAAATATTTTGGCAATCTGTTTTTTTAAATAGTGAAGTGCAGTGGAAGGGAACATAAATAAATAAGCAAAACATTTCCTTACCTATACTTATCGAACAGTGACGCATCTGATTGGAAATTACTCTATGCATTAGACTAAAAGTTTGTTTATTGCAAAACACTATGGAAATAAAAATGGGTCAAATGTAAAGCAGCCCACGGAGAAATACCTTACTTCTATGTGAGCAGCATTATAATGTGTAAGCAATGTAAAAACAGATTGCACAATATTAAATGCTGTAACAAGACAAATCACAGAATTGTTATTGAACGCGTTCGTTCAAAACCAAGCAAATCCTTGTTAAAACTAATATTAGCGAATTCCCCTAAAACAAAGAAAACATCCTATGTTTTCTGTGCCTAAAAAGGGAAGTAGCTATTACCATAGGTGGCATGCTAAGACCTAGACCCGGCACCGACCGATTTACTTTTTCAATTTGATGTATACAAAGGCCAAAAACACCATTCGTTCAAATTTTGATATACGTATATACAGGGTGATCAACTCAAGGAGGCCACCATTTGGATATCGGAAACGGTAAGAATTAGAAAAAACTTTAAATGGGGAACATTCCTTTATTTTTTGTGGCAGTTTAAAATATGATTTTATTTTTTCGAAATTCAGCCGCCATTTTCCAAAATGGCGGCCAACTTTGAAATTTCTTATGGAACACCCTATATTTTATCATGGTTTTGGATAGAACAGTCAATTTAAAAACTGTTTTATTATTGCCATTTTTTCGATAAACCCACTCGTTTAGGAGTTACAGCCTATGGAAAAATGACTTCCGGTGTACATTTTACATCATGTAGCTCCTAAACAAGTAGGTTTATAGCGAAAATGTGAAAAGTAAATAAGTCAAATAAGTCTTAAAATTGCATCCACATTCCAAAAAGACCATAAAATACATAGTTTTCCACTTTTAAAGTTTGCCGCCATTTTGGAAAATGGCTGCCATTTTTGAAATAATAGAAATAATAGTTTTAACAAATTGTATGGTCTTTTTGGAATGTGGATGCAATTTTAAGACTTATTTACTTTTCACATTTTCGCTATAAACCTACTTGTTTAGGAGCTACATGATGTAAAATGTACACCGGAAGTCATTTTTCCATAGGCTGTAACTCCTAAACGAGTGGGTTTATCGAAAAAATGGCAAGAATAAAACAGTTTTTAAATTGACTGTTCTATCCAAAACCATGATAAAATATAGAGTGTTCCATAAGAAATTTCAAAGTTGGCCGCCATTTTGGAAAATGGCGGCTGAATTTCGAAAAAATAAAATCATATTTTTAACTGCCACAAAAAATAAAGGAATGTTCCCCATTTAAAGTTTTTTCTAATTCTTACCGTTTCCGATATCCCAATGGTGGCCTCCTTGAGTTGATCACCCTGTATAGATATACACAGGGTGCGGCAAAAAATACCGATATATTTTTTGCAGCGTCCTGTTCAGCGACAGGTTGTCTGATAGTGGTGGGGTTAGGCTCTTTAGGAAAGAATTCACGATGCCATTATCTGTAGTCAATAGTCATAGAGCAGTGGTCATCTGAACAACACGCATTTGTTATCGAGTCGTTTTAAAAATTAATGATTCAGTCATTGCAACTCAGCGGCATTTCCATGCATTCTTTAAATTAGGTGTACATGGCAAATTTCCAGTGCGATTTTCTATATGGATAATTTACAAAATTAAACAGATGAATGACAATAAATCTGTAGGGATAAGAATCA